TCAGCTGAGAGGTCAAAGCCACGAGCGTGCACTTCCTCGAGAGTTTCTCTCCAGGTTGTCGCCTAGCGTGATCGAGAGAACATGACAATTTGACTTCAGCGGCAATGGAGATTTCCTATTCCCGAATGTTAGTAGCTTCGGTGTCAGCTTGATTAGAGGCCACAAATGCCTCTGCCTCAGATTTGGCCTTCGTGAGCTCGGCAGCCGATTTAGCTTCGAGCTCCTCAATCTTTCGGCTCCGGCCAAGTTTTCCCCCTTTGCATTTTGAAGCTGGCATTCAAGAGAAGCCAACTGGGCCTGAAGCGTGTCTTTCTTCGAGGCAAGGCAATCCATATGTTGTTTCCACCCCAGGGTCTCGGCCTCTTTCATTTTGACCTCTTCTCGAAGCTGTTTCACCAGCTCTCCCTTCTGCTAAGCCTGCAAAATTGAAGTGTTAATCACTAAATAAAATGAGCACATAACAAACCCTGAAAGGTTACATTACCTGCTCAATGAGCTCAGTCTGTTCTTGATAAGCCTTCGCCAGTTCAACTCGGAGATCCCTGATCTCCTCCTCTTTCTGTATATAGAGGCGTTTAAGGTTGTCTCTCTCTTTCACAAGCTTCTTGAGATCGGCCTCGCATCGGGCAAGCTTGACTTGAGATTTGGAAAATGCTTGTCGATGAAGCATCACGGCCTTCTCACAAAGAAAAGGAGTTAGACTTAGAAAAAACGAGAGTAAAAATCGAGCATAATTATGGAGGAAGGGACTTACTTGTTCGATAAGCCGCCGAGCCTCATCAAAGATAAACGAAGCGTCAGGGTCAGGACCATCTTCGACCGCCATAAAACATTTCCGAAAAATATCATTCCCTTCGTGGGTCATCCCCATGTCAGGAGTCTTCATGGCCTGGGCATCTCGAAACTGCCCTTCAGAAAACACATGACCAGGCGGGGATTCATCTATGTTAATTATCCCAAGTGCTTCACTTGGGACATTCTCTTCTCTTCGAAGGGCCTCAGAATTAGGCTTTTCGGGCTTGCCCATCAGATGTCCTCCAAGGCGGGGAGTAGTTTTACCACCTAATGGATCGGGGAATCTGCTCGAGCTCCCCTCCGAGATTTCCTTGGTCCGAGATTGAACCGCATCAGCCACCGCCAGTTCGGCGGTCTTCGAAGCTTCAGTGCTCCCCCTCTTCCGAGCTACCAACAGAAAGTCATCATATTCTTCCTCGTCATCCCGAAGATGTTGGATCGCTTCTACAGATAGGGCTACAGGATCGGCCCTAGGCTTTCGAGCCTTATTTTTCTTGGGCTTCGGGGAACTTGCTGGCGAAGCCCTTTTCCTTTTATTCTCCTTGGTTGGCTTCAGGATTTCCTCTTCACTGGGCGGGATCTGCCTCATAGCAACAGTATCCCTGAGGCCTGCGTAAGGAGAAAGTAAGTATTTTACAGAAAAACGTCGACATATGAACAAGGGAACTCACCATGGTTTTTAGCTTCCCACTGACCCTTAGCCAACTCATGCCAATAGTGTTCTGCGTGTGAAGAGCTGGAGGCCAGTTGTCGGACCCAACCTGCGAGGTTCGGAATCGCACCAGGAAATAAAGGGGAAGTTGCACCATCGAAAAAGAATCAGATTGAGGAAGAATAGGGGAAGTGGAGTAGTAAGTATCATCAATAGGGTTGTACTTACGTTTCATATTCCATTCCTCGGGGAATGGTATCCTTTCGGCAGGAATTAAGTCGGAGGTCTTGATTCGGACAAATCGGCCAATCCATCCTCGGTCTTTGTCCTCATTGATACTGGAGAATAGCGCCTTCAAGGACCGACACTGGAGCTTTATTAAACCACCTCGATAGAGGCGAGGGCTGTATAGCCTAATTAGATGGTCAAGTGTAGAAGGCAACCCCTTGACCTTACCCGAGAAGAACCTGAGCAATTTGACAATACGCTAGAAAGAAGGGTAGATCTGGCCAAGGGTCACCCGATACTGGTGACAAAAATCGAGAATAACTGGATCTACATGACCCAATACCGGATCTACGAGACCCTGTGTGAAAGGATAAGTATACACACTTATGTATCCTTCCACATGGGTAATGATATCCTCCTCTAGGGAAGGAATCACCACTTCCTTGTTCTCCCAACTGCAGTCCTCTTTCACCTGTTTGAGATCGGCTTCAGATATCGAGCAAATGTATCAGGACATAGGCTCGCATAGTCCTGGAACTGATAGAGGTTTATCGATTTAAAATCGGAGGATAGCTCGCATGGCCAACGAATGCATTCCTCGATGATGAGGACGCTTTTTCTTTCTGAGGAACGATTTTAGATGTTTTAGCCATTGTTGTTGAGAAATTCAAAAGAAGAGAAGGAGTTGATGCTGTAGCAAGAACAACTTGAAGAAAGGGTGAACTCAGAGAAGATGAAGAAGCTAGTGGGGTTTTGAGAAATATTTGAGAAGTAAAGATTGTAAAGTTGTGACATTGATCTATTTTATAGTGGCTGCTTTAACGGTTTGGGGAAGCCAATGGCCGACCATCAGCCGCCTTCAATTAATGGCTTTAGGAACTATGCAAACGCGACCTTTCAATCACTTCAGTCGCTGACATCACGAGATTAACGTCATGATCGAGGCATCGAGGGAGCAAAGATCAAATCATTTTTTATCATTTTGCTTTAAGAAATGCGGGGACTATCTGTATACGGTCGAAATCAGGTATGCCCGATTTCATTTGTTCGAAGAGTCACTTCAAGCCCGAGTTCAGAATAGACCCAGTTCGAGCCCGATGCCGGAGTACACAACTCGAAGATCGAGGTACGCGATGAGCACCGAGGCCGAGTGTGACCAACTCCGAGATGATGTCGTTAAGGGTTTGTAACAGAAGAACAAGATTCTTGCAACGTCCCTAAGATCATGGCATAAATTCCGGAATAGATTTGTACGAGTTTGTACGGATTTGTACTGGGTAGTTGGACAACTGTCCTAATAAGATTCCTTACTAAAAATGGAAGTGTACCTTATTTAGGGTTTCCATTACTATATAAGGGAGACTCCAATCATTTGTAACCATCATCAATCATTGGCAAAAAAATATACACTCTTGTTTTTTTGCTCATTACTCATCAGAATTATCTCTTAACTTTATTGTCCTTACTTTATTGTTCTTATTGACCTACCCCGAGGTCATCATAACTCGAGATCAAGACTTGCTTAATCACTGGTTTGATTCAACTTACTTTTTTCATTTATACGTTTGGTTTCTTGATTATTAATTAATATTGAATTAAACGCTTATCTTAAGACCACATACAAGTTTTAACTTTACTTGTATTTCGAGGTAAACAAAGGGCAACTCTAGAATATAAACAATCTAGGAATGAATGGCATTAATTCGTCAGTTCCGTCTTTCGTGGGGTGTCTTTTTATGCCTTTGGGGGAGCTTAGGGATATGTGAAGAGTAAGTAAGAATGAGAGAATACCTCTATATCTAAGAGGTGTAAATGAATTACAATTATTAGAATGTAACATTAGTTTCATCTTTCCAGTAACTATATTTCAAAAGAAAGCGAACGATAACGTGAATATTGGTCGATATTGATAATGAGAGGAGCATTCCGTAGAGTAACTATTCAACAGTAGACCTATTGGTACTGTATTCCATATTATACCAAACTAAAAAGACGTATAGATACGGACTGAGGGAGACATCTTCAGTTTTTTATTTTTATGCAGCCCTTGAGGGGAGTAGCTTATTGCTATCTCAAATACTCATCCGATTAATTGTTTTTGTGCAATTCCAAGTGAAGATCGACAGAAAACATGAAAGTTTTTGATCAATATTGTCTCTTATCTTTAAGGGTAGGTCTATTTTGGTCCTTCAAATATAACCCTGAGCATATTTAGCCCCTTAAGTATGCTAAAGTGAAGCACCTTTAGTCTCACTGACACAATGTGTTAAAAAATTAACGGTGTTAGCTAACTCTGATTGATGAAGCAAATCTTCTGCTCTGAAGCAAAGCGTTTCCTCTCCTTTTATTGGATAACACAAATTATCACTTGAATTCCTCATTTTTATATAATGTCTTCTAAAATTTTGACCATGAAAATATTTCCTTTTGTGCCAGTTTTCAATGAGAAAATGACATTGTATAGTGCCTGTAAAGTAATAACCGAAAAAAGATATAAAATTTGTATATTTTTTTTTGTGTATATATATATATATATATATATACATTTAAATTTTTCCAAAAAGAAAAATTAAAATTTGAAAAAAAAATAGAGCTGTCACGATCACTTCTAGGCATATTATTGAAGCAAACGAATAATCAGGTTGTATTTTCATTTTAGCCCGTGCCAGAAACTATTTATATCTAGTAACCGAAAAAGTATAAAAAATTTGTATAATTTTTGTATATTAACATACAAAATGTATATATATATATATATACAAAAAAGAATACGCAAATTTTATATATTTTTTCGGCTACTATTTTTACAGCGGCTATACAACCTCATTTTCTCATTGAAAACTGGCATCGAAAGGGATATTTTCAAGGTCAAAATTTTAGAAGACATTATCTAAAAATGAGGAATTAAAGTGATAATTTGCGTTATCCAATAAATGAGAGGAAACGTTCTGCTTCAGAGCAAAGATTTGCTTCATGAATCTGAGTTAGGTAACACCATTAGTTTTTGAACACATTGCGTCAGTGAGACTAAAGTTGCTCACTTTAGCATACTTAAGGGACTAAATATGCTCAGGGTTATATTTGAGGGACCAAAATAAACCTAATCTCAAAAATAAGGGACAATATTTGCCAAAAACTCGAAAACATGACTCTTTGTTTTAAAATTCGATTCCAGGAGACTGCATAAATTAAACATCACATTTCAGTGAATGGAGAAAACTTAAGCTCGATTTCCATCAGATTATATAAAATATTTATAATGTTTTATTTTTCATTTAGTTTGTACCCACAAAATTAAAAACTATCTCCCAACTAATGGCGAATATTAAATGACAAACCAACAAAAAGACTCATCCATTTGACCTTACCAAAACTAATGAGTTCACATTTATATAGGTGGGAAATTCTTGAAGGGAAGGATATCGGGGGTCTATTTGGAAATAGCCTCTCTATTCCAGGATAGGGGTAAGGTCTGCGTACACACTATTCTCCCCAGACCCTATTAAGTGAGATTATACTGGGTTGTTGTTGTTGTTCTTTTTGTCTTCGTTTTCTCCTCAAAGCTGAGAAAGTGATACGGCCATGGATTCTCTGGGCCTGTATAATGCCTCCAATGGATCGCGCTTCTTCAACATCAGCCCAAAACTTTCATCTAAGCCCACTAATGCAGGCCCAACGCTTTGCCACTTAAAACACTGAATAAATAAGCCCAAAACAAGCCCAATCAATCTCATAGCAAGACCAGAACCAGGACAAGCCCTTCTCCCCATACCAAATGGTATAAACTTACACCCTTCAATTCCCCCTTCCATTCCTTCAAATCTCTCTGGCTTAAACTTGTTTGGTTCTTCCCAAAGTTTAGGATCCCTTTGAATTTCCCAAACATTCACAAATAGTATTGTGCCTTTAGGAATACCATATCCTTCAATTATACAATCTTGTGATGAAAAATGAGGCACTAAAAGTGGTCCAGCAGGAAATAACCTCAATGTCTCATTGATTATACAACGTAAATAGGGTAGTTTAAGGATGTCCGATTCCTCTAACAAACGCCCCTCTCCAACGAGGTTGTTTATTTCGAGCTTTGCCTTTTTCATTACCTCTGGATGATTTAATAACAATGTCATTGTCCACTCCATTGTTACAGCTGAAGTATGTGTTCCAGCCGTGAACATTACCTTTAAAACAACATTTGGAAACATCATACAAAATGTTGAACTAACGAAAGAGAACATCAAACATTTTAAATGCCAATTGTCATTTTTATCAGCTTTTATTTTTTACCTATACTTACCTTATAAATAATATGATTATTTAAATACTTTTACCGCCAATTTACATAACTGACACTTTAACAATTAAACCGAACATCAAATCATAAAGTATGTATTTCAGCAGTGAAAATTACCTTTAAAAATGAAACTAGGAAATATCATGCAAAATGTTAGAAATAATGGATACACACATAAAAAACTTAGACGACCAATGTAGTTTGACCGGTTGTAGCATCTTATTTGACCTTTCTGCACTAATATGAAATTAAAATCTCACTTACTACTAAAAAATAAGAGTTTAGCTTTTATGCATTAATAATATATTTATACTATCAAGTAACTTAAGTGATAAATGCAAGTACCATAAGGTACTAGGACTATAAAGCAAATTACTTGTTATAACATGTTAAAATATACCGACAATATATAAAAAAAATTACTCTATTAACCTTTGAAGGTTAAACCCTCAATATATGGTTACTTGTAGCTGGCTCTTAATTAACTTACTGATATACAAACTATTCATATCAAAACCGAAAGATTAAGGGTGTGTTTGGTACAAAAGAAAATATTTTCCATGAAAAATGTTTTCCTAAAAAATATTTTCATGAAAAATGAATGGTTTTATCACTTATTTTCTTTAAGGGTGTGCTTTGGTACGAAGGAAAACATTTTGCATGAAATAATGAATATACGTACCATTATGACACCCTTAATAATGTCATCAGTGTAACATTCAGGCTGGGCTTTTTGTAAACCTAACAAAGCGTCTATAATCGTCTTTCTCTGCTCAGCCAAAGATGAATCAGCTCTGCTATTTCGACATTCATCAATTAGACCCTGAAGAAATATATCTCTTGTTTTCTTGATCTCTACCAAATTCTTCTCCAACCCCTGAAATCCAACCCACTGAAGTACAGGAAAATAATCACAAATAGTCATAATCATAGTTGGACCAAACATGTCATGAGTTGACTCGGTCCAACGTTTACCTGCAACCATCTTAGTTAACACATCGTACACTAATTTCTCAAACAAAAAATTCAAGTTCACTTTCTTGGCAATTCCTCCTTTGTAATCCAGGACTAGTTTTGTAACCACGTAACGGACTTCTTCTGTACGGACGGCGGAGGAATAGTTAAGGCTGACGGTGGAGAAGATTTGACTACTAGCAATGCGGCGGAGATTACGCCAATGGTCACCGTAAGGAGAAAATCCAATGGTGGTTTGGTTATAGCCAAGATGTTTAGTAACGAGAGATTTTGGTCGATTTGCAAAAATAATGTCATTTTTTGTGAAACATTGCTCCGTAATTGAAGGAGAGGATATGACAATAATTGGACAAGTCCCAAAATGGAGGAAAATAATGGGACCATATTTGCAAGAAAGTGATTTAAAAGTTTGGTGAATAGGGGATTTGAGGAGATGGAGATGTCCAATAATTGGTAGAGATGGTGGACTTGGAGGAAGTTTTTTATTTCTTGCATTTTGCAGTTTTAGAATGAAAAAGATGGAGAAAAAAAAGGCAATAGTGCAAAATGGGAAGCCTATTTCCATATTCATGGATTTTTCAGCTAAGAAGTAATAATGGTGACTTTCATTATTTTTGTCCGTACCGCCTGATAAGGTTGCATGGGGTGATGACACCAAACTGTGCTTGTGTTTTCTAGCATTAATTTCTGTAGATTAGAGTTTGGGGTTGTCTTTTATAATAAGGTCAGTAAAATTGAAGTAAGCCGTGACGTCAAACGCACACTCTTACTTTACACGTTAAATGCACGCTTACATTTTGCGTTAAACAATATTAGCTTTCAAGTAACGTATTTCTTTGAAAAGCAATTAAGAGTGCAACACCTTTTCTGATTTATGAACGACCAAGTTATTTCTCTTTGCAAATAAACAAGTTATTTCTCTTTGTTCTCTAATTTAAGAGTGAGCGAGATTTAAGAAGAGATTATATTTGCAAAACTAAGTAAAACAGTATAGTAAGACCTCTCTATAACAGTCATTTTCTATAACAACACTTTGATATAACGATCAAGTTTTCTTTGGAACCGTTCTTCATGTTATACTATAATATATGTTCTCTACAACAATATTTTACTATAGCAACAAAACATATCGGAACAAACTAGAATACTATAGAAAAACTTGACCGTATATGAAAAAAAATTCAGAAGTGGAAAGAGGACGTACGGAGGAATCTACACGGCTCTTTAATTAAGCAGCTGGAAAAAAGTCTTACTTTGAACTAATTTAATCAATTAGCTGACTTTTAGATATCTAAGGTATGCTAATTAACGTTATCTACACACATGATGATATTAATAGTTTTAAGTTTCTGCTCTTACAATATATTGTGCTGACTAGCAAGGAGATTTTATTCGTTTTCACCGTATGAAGCTCCAAATTTTAAGGGTTGCCATTTGCTCAAATCCCGGCTGATCCACATGCAACAATATCAAATAAAATCCAGGCACAGATTAAGTTCACATTCACCAAATAATAGCTTAAGCTTTATTTAATATCTCTTGTTCTACATAGTCAACTTTATTTAGTCACATTACCTTAGAGCACAAAGGTAAATTTTTACACTATACATACATACAACAACAGTACAAACCCAGTGAGATCCCCTACTTTAGGAAGATAGAGAGACCTCGGCTCAAGAAAGGAAACCACGCCAATTTTGTCGTGGAATACAAACAGCCTCCAAAGGTTTATCTTTGTTCAAAGTGATTCTAGAATTATAGCACGCGTCCAACTTTTCTTCTTCCACACTTTTCCAATCGAACGACTGAATCAGGGAACCCAATACCAGTGAAACAGTGCGCAAGCCCATAGCAGCTCCAGGGCATGCTCTTCTCCCCATTCCAAATGGTACTAATTTATAGTTGAATCCTTCTTTTTCTCCTTCCATGGCCTCAAATCGCTCTGGTTTGAACTTTTCAGGTTCGTCCCATAACTTGGGATCCCTATGGATAGCCCAAGCGTTAACCATTAGGATCGTATGTTTTGGTACTTCATATCCCCCAACAGTACAATCTTCTAATGAGTAGTGAGGCAACAAAAGTGGTACTGGAGGGTACAATCTTAGCGTCTCGTTTATAACACGATGTAAATAAGGAAGCTTGGGAATGTCTGATTCATTTAGCAAGCCATCGTTCCCCACTTTGCTATCAATCTCAGCTCTCAGTTTTGTAAATGCCTTAGGATGAGCTAAAAGAAGTCGCATCGCCCATTGAATGGTCATTGATGTTGTCTCTGTTCCAGCAATAAATAAAACCTGCAACACCAAATCATGTTTGTGTTTAAACAAAGCACAAGTCTAATCAAGTTATCTGTGAGTTTAGAGGCCAGCATTCTTGTGATCAGTACTAGATGTATACACTAAGTTTAATTTCCTAAATTACGATAAGGAGTTAACTTTTAGCAAAAATAAAAGGCAAATTTTAATAACATCTTGAAGAGGAAATATCCAAACTAAGGAAATATTTAACATACTTCCTTATATTAGAACTATCCATGATCCAAACTAATTACTCCTAGGAAATTTTGACCAGCTTTTGGCCATAGTCGAGGGATCATACCAGTAAAACACTTTTAATTAGATCATCTGTGTAAAATTCAGGTTCAGATTCTTGTAGTGACAAGAGAGTTTCGACCAGCGTGGTCTTCTTAGCATTGATACTATCAGTACTGGATTCTGAAATACCAGCTATTTTTTTCTGTCGAAATTCGTCCAGTAAGTTGTTCAAGAATTCATTTCTCTTTTGGTGCGCTAAGACCATCCTTTTCTCTAGCCCTTTGTACCCAAACCATTTCAAAACTGGCATGAAATCACACACGTTCAAAACTACCAAGGTCGCGAAGAAAAATCCTCTTATCTCTTCAATGATTTGTTTCCCCTTCTCTGTTTCCATGTCTTCTTCACTTACGCAACGTTTTCCAGTGCCAGTTCTCATCATAACATTGACCGCAAAAGTAAAAACCCAATGACTCAAGTTAACTCTTGCACCACTACTGCCATTATTAGTGCTGGCTTTAAACAAAGAGCGAATAAGAATTCCAATTTCTTCATTCCGCAGTGCAGAAGACTTCTGCAAGCTATTGGAAGAGAAGATCTCAATAACAGTTAGACGGCGGAGAGCTCTCCAAAGATAGCCGTAAGGAGCCCAGACAACAGCCTTATAGTTGAAGGAAAACTGATCTCCAGCCATGCTCTGAGGACGATTTGCAAATATGATATCGTTTTTGGTGAAGCATTCTTCCATCGCAGATGGAGAAGACACAACAAGCAAATTTCTACAGCCGAATCGGAGATACAAAACAGGGCCATATTTTGTAGATAGGGAAGTTAGTGTCTCGTGTAGGGAATTCTTAATAAGGTAAAGATGACCAATTATCGGAAGAGACAGAGGACTAGGTGGTAAACGTTTTCCGGAAGGAAGCAAGTATTTGAATAAAATGACAAAGAAAAATAGCAAGATAGCTAAGTAGTAGTAGTAGTAGTAGTAGCTAGAGTTCAGATTCTCCATAGGCGAAAACTTGAAACAATAGAGAATTATAGAACTTAGAACTCAGGGTAGGTGTAGTTTATAAAACAGATGTCCCTTCTATATATCATTGACAGTGGCCTAAAGTTAGTCATTAGCAGAGCGATCAGTGGCCAATATATGAAGACAAACATTTCGTAAGAGCTGACGAATTTAAGTAATTGACAAAATCTAATGATCCAGACATCAATCCCTTTCACTTCTTATCCTGACCACAAAACTTTTCCGTGGTCTCTTTGTTCATTTCATTTCCTGCAACAATTATAGCAACAGCACTTGCAAATATATCAACAACACCAATAATAGCAATAAAAAACAATGAGAAAATCATTATCTCTTAAGACTAGGGGCGAAGCTACATTATCCGAATGGTGGTCAATTGACCACCTTCATCAAAAAAATTACACTACGTATATAGATAAAATATTAGATACTTAAGGTGTATAACATATACTGAATACCCTTTGTCGAAGAATTTCTTCACTTCTTTCAAGTTCGAACACTCTTGTGAAAATTTCTGGCTTCGCCCTTGTTTGAGACAAGAACATAATAATGACTTCAAATTAAAATAAAGCGATTGTGAAATATATAATTGTGATAAATAATTTTGGGTACTGCACACTATAAAAAAAATGAATATTACATATTCATGTGGATTATATATAATGTATAGCAATTAACCTCTTGAACTAAGTAGTTGATGTTAGCTAACCGCGGCTGGTCAACGACCCGTTAGCTTCCTCTACATCTCTTTGTTAACTTAATAATGATGTTATATATAGTCTTTGATTTATGTAGTCAATGTTAGCTACCGCGGCTGGTTACTTTAATTACTAGGAGTATAAGTTTTAGTTTGACTAGTGTTAGTTTAATTATATAAAACAAATGATTGTGTTATGTTAGTGTGATATTGTGATGTTATACTGCTATTTTTTTTTGTTGGTAACGGCGTGATTTATTAGAGCAGGAAATTAAAGAGTGTTATTACAATATGGAACAGATCTTAACGATGCAGTTCCTAACAAGTCTTTGTGATAAGTAAAGAAAGCAAATAAAGGCACTGTGGCCCAAAATAGGTCTTCACATTCAACATTTCCTTCTGGTATCCGTGTACTTGCATAGTTTGTTAAAACATGAGCAACTGAGTTGGCTTCACAGTATATGTCCCTGACTGGCGGCTGGTCCATGGCCGCCATAAGGAACATTCAATCATGTAGTAAATTTGTGTGAGCATCATTAATTATATAAAGTTTTATAATTATGGACAGTTCCTGAAAGTCAGTTTCCACTATCAGTGGAACTAAGTTCTTAGTAAAGGCCAGCTCCAATCCCTTGAGTAAGGCTGTAATTTCAGCTTGGAGTGGTGTAGTTGCCACAATGCGGCTGGAAAACCCTGCTATCTAGCTTACATGGGAATCCCTAATGATTTCTCCTACTCTTCCATAATTGGAGTTTTTTTTGTGTGCACCATCTATATTGAGTTTATAGATATTTGGTGGTGGTAGTTCCCACCGTACTTGAATTCTTGTGGCTCGGTGTTGGGCTGCTTTTTGGTTAGTAGGGCAGTTGTATTTAATTGCTTGGGCAATTGGTGTGTTGCTAATGATTGTTGCGGAGGATTTTTTGAATAAATTATTGCTGGGATGTAACCAAATATGCCATAGGGTAATAAGGGTGATAATGGACAATGGAACTTGAATATGATTTGGCAGAGTTGTTGAGCCATTGGATGTTTATTGTTCTTTAACCCTCGTACTGAAATCTGGTGGTTCAAAGTCTATATAAAAAGTGTTCCAGATGGTGTTGTCTCGTGGGCAATGGAGGAAGATGTGCTTAGTATCTTCCACAACATTATAGTGAGAAAAAAGGGGGGATGGAATCATTTTCATGTGTTATAACATGGATGTTGTAAGTAGGCACTTTATGATTAGGAGCCACAGGAAGTGTTTGAGTTTATTATGTCAGTTAGTTTTTCATATCCAATAGTGTTTGAAATCCCTTAGTGTTTGTGTAGATAGGTATTTCCTGATTAAAGAGTAAGTTGACTTGGTCGTGAAGGAGCCATCAGTAGTGGGTTGCCAGAAGAAGTTATATGTGGCAGCTTCAGAGAAGGGTAGATAGGTATTGTGGATTAGTGATTGAATGTCTATAGGAAGTTCAAAGGATAGTTGGCTTAGGTTCCAAGAGTTTGAGTGTAGTATGTGTGAGAGCTTTTTTTTTAAAATTTGCATTTGTTAGTGGACTTTGGATGAGAGCCCTTAGAGGTAACTGGGCGATGGCCCAGTTGTCTTTCCAAAGATTAATATGGCTGTCATTCGCCACTTTCCAAGCTAATCCTTTTGCAAAAAAATGGGTGAGCTCTAGCAAGGCTTTTCCACATACAAGACTCAGTTGTATTTGAGATGAAATGTTTATGCTCATGTCTTGCCAGGTATTTTTGACCTAGCACCTGTGCCCATAGGCTGTTTGGGCTATAGTAGAGGTGCCAAATAATATTACAAAGGAGAACGTGGTTTTTGCTCTTGGAGCTGGCAAGATCCAGGCCTCCTTCTTGTTTTGGGGATGTTACAGTATCCCAATTAACTAGGTGAACCCTTTTTTCTGCAATTGATCCCCATAGGAAGTCTCACTGAATGCGCTCTATATGTCTTCTAGTTGACGTAGACAGATAATTGAGTTGCATTGAGTGTGTTGGTATAGCTGCCAGAACCGACTGAATAAGGATGGCTCTTCCTACTTGTGTTAAGACCTTTTCTTTCTAGCCTTTTAGTCTTGTATTCATTCTATCGAGGATAAATTGATAGTTAGAGTTTTTTGGTTGGAGAATGGTAATTGGAAAGCAAAAGTACTTCCCTACTGGTTTGTTGCCTTAATATTAAGCATTGTGGAGAGCGTGTTATTGGTGTGACTATCCACATTCTTTGAGAGGAGGATTTTTTATTTTGTGAAGTTTATTTGCTGACCAGATTGTTGGGTAATGAAGTTGAAGATGTTTTTAATAGAGGCAATACTAGTTGCATTTGCCTCAGAAAAGAGGATAAGTTCATATGCGAATAAGAGGTGGGATCTGGGGGTCCTGATCAACTAATTTTTATAATTTTTCATTGACAAATGTCCACAGCATAGTCAATGTACCTAGTAATTAATTGCATACAGATGATGAAGAGATATGGTGATAATAGGCCCCCTTGGCATATGCCTCAAGAGGGCTCAAAGAAATCTTTCGGTTGACCATTGGCAATGATAGAGGTAGATGACGTTGAAATATAGTTTTTAATTATTATAATTAATCTGACAGGAAAGTTGAGGGCATGTAAGGAGTTTCGTATAAACGACCATCCTAGGCGGTCAAACACTTTTTCTAAGTCGAGCTTAAGCATCATTTTTCCTTTGCCTCCTGCATTTTTTTGAAGGAGTGAATGACTTCCTGAACTATAATTGCATTATCAACAACACATATTCCTAGAATGAAACTGCACTGATTGGGGGTAATGATTTTGTTAAGGAAGAGGTGTATCTTATTAACAATAATTTTGATAATTGTCTTATAAATTGTGTTGCAAAGTCTAATAGGTCTGTAGTCAGAGATGTACTATGGGTTTTTTTAAATCTTAGGGATGAGTGATATATATGTCTTATTTATCTCAGGGTTAATTGTAAGAGTTTGGAAAGCTTGTGAGAAGGTGTGGATAATTGAGGGACTCGTGTCTGCCCAATATTTCTGGAAAAAGATTGGTTGAGTATCATATGGCCCAGGTGCTTTGAGCGGCTTAAAAGATTTTATAGCTTTATTGCTTTTCAGGGTTTTTTGAGTCTCTACTAAGGAATTCTTTATCTCTGTTACTTAGGATATTGAGAGTGCTTGGGTTATGGGTAACATGTCTAGAGCAAAAGGGTAATTCACTAGCGTAAATGTTTGTAAAGTGGTTTTAGATTATGTCCCGTATAGACTGCAGGTCAAAAGTCTAGTTACCTATATAATCATTGAGTTCTAGTATTCGATTTTTTCTACTACGTTGGATAGCCAAAATGTGAAAGAATTTAGTATTGACATCTCCATCATTTAACCATTGGACTCAGATTTTAATTTTCAGAACTCCTCTTCATTTTTTAGGATTTCATTATATTCGCAAATGAGTTATTCCTCAAGGTCAATGTGGAATTGTCTTTTGTAGGTAGGATGTATATTTCGGATATCTAGTATTCTATTTTTGTAATATTTATTTTTTTAAAAGATATTTCCAAAAGTGTTCTTGTTGCATGTCTCCACATGTTTCGTAAAGGATAATATGGCATTCCTGAAGGATATGTTGGTCGACCAATGATAGTTGACTATATTGTTAAAATCAGGATGGTTTAGCCATATTATTTTAAAATGAAATATGTGGGAAGGTTTATTCATAAGTTTTAATAAGTTCAAGATGATCGGACAATGATCAGAGTGCATGTGTGGCAAATGAGCTACAATTGCATCTGGGTATGTACCCACCCAGTCCGGTTGGCATGGAAGCGGTCTAACCGTTCCAGGATTTGGTGACCCTTGTTTTTTCTTTTATTTGTCCACGTGAACCTAGGCCCCGTGGACCTTAGGTCAATCATATTTAGATTATCTAGGCAATGCATGAAGGCAACTGTCCTAGTATTATTTATTGGTCTTCCTCCAAACATTTCAGAAGTAGATGTTACTTCGTTAAAATCTCCACAGAGAAGCCGCGACATAGTATGATTCTTTGCTACAATTTCTAGGTTATTCTATTGGATTCTTCTATTAGCCAGGATTGTACTTGCATAAACTAAAGATAAGAGCCAACGGTGTGATGTTCCCCTAACCTAGATGTTGACATGAATCTCCTGGTCAGTAATGGCGACTGGGTCAACCTTAAGTTCTTCATGCTTCCATATTAGGGCAGCACCCCCAAAGTAACCATATGCACTAAGCTCAAATAGGTCAGTGAAGTTAACAAACTCCATGAGATCGTAGTGATTCTACATGCGTGTCTTTGTAAGGCATATGATTGAGGGGTTGTTCCAGTCTACATGGTCCTTGAAACTTCACCTGAATTTAGGTTTGCTTCACCCTCTGTAATTCCAAAGGAGTATCTTTATCTAGGGCTCTTTGACGATCATCGAACTCCCACCCATAGCTAGTGACATACGCAAGTGAGAGATAAGTGGGTGGTCCACTCCATTGTTCATTGGAATGTCCTCCTCTGCCAGTGTTGGAATTATCAGAAGAACATATTTGTGTAGG